TGTTGTTGTTGTTATTATTATTGTTGTTATACTATTTTCATTTATAATTTGTACAATTAACCTCCTTGTGGTTCGACCCCGGTCTTGCCGGGTTATTTATTACTTCGACACTCCTGCACTTGGGAGAAGACATTAATCTTTTCATCTTGTCAGTAGACAAAACAAGTTTCTATAGTTTTGTTCATAAGAACATGTTATATGCATCTAGTTAAAAAGCTTAAAAATAAACAATAAGATAAAATTTAAATTATAATTCAAATACTTTAATATTTTTTAACTAATAATCAAGTTATAACAAGGGTTTATAAACTAAAAAAAAGACTAATAGAAAGAAAGTCTTAAGTTTATTGTCCAAAAATCATGAGATAATTAGACAAGTGAGCATAGTTGTTTAGTGTATAATCATGCAATATAATAAGAACATAATAAAAGTTCATGTTATCTTTTATATGATTGCAAGTTATATATATATATAAACAAAATTTTAATATGAAGTATATAGTCTATAAATAGAATATTGGCTTGTATTGGATCAATTTTTTTAATATAAAAATTATCTAGGTGATTCTTATATTTTGTCTAGCAAAAAACATTTTCTAAATTATACGGGGATTGATTTGATATGATTCGATCAACTTTATGAATTCAAAACAACTTAGATGACTGGTATTTTTATAGTTTAACTCAAAATAAATATTTAAAATGATATATTTTTTTATAAATATTTAGTCGTCAACATATCAGAACGATTCAGATCAACCTGAGTTAACTTGTTAATCTACATGTCGAGTCATAAGATCATTATAGCCTTCGAAAAAGCAAATTAAAACAAATTATAAGGCTCAATTTCCAATACATCTAGTGTTGAAAGATGAAATAAAAAAAACATTTTAAAAAAATAACCCAAGTTAACTTGTCAAATCTATAATTTAGATCATAAGATTGAGATAGCTCGATAAAAAAAATTATGAAGCTTGATCTGTAAAAAATATAATATTAAATAATGTAATTAAAATTGAAAAATCAATAAAAAAACTAAAAAAATTAATAGAATCAACCTAGATTAATTACTAACAATTTTTGTATTGAAAGTTTCTCTTAATAGTAATAGTAAAGAAGGAGATCTTTACCACTTAAACAAAATAATAATAATAATAATTTCTTTTTCATCTTTTTTCATGAGATGACTATCACAATTCATGCATTCTATATTTTGGCATTATTATTTTAAACATGTATTAATTTGTATGTTAAAAAAAAATAGGGTTTGCAATAACATGACATTATTGGGGGTTTCGGGCCGGTGATATATTGATAATTATCTATTGAAGGCTACACATGCTGACATAATATTTAACGTGTTTTGGTAAATCATTTACATCCACGCTAGAAGCCAATTCTTATATAGGGAGAGAACAAGATTTACAACAATAGAAGAGTAGGAATCATTCACTCTTTTGCAACTCTCAACCTCACTCTTTTCTCTTTTTACAGTGTTGCAATGGCAGCCATTGCTTACTGCTCTTGGCAACCAACTCTCTCCTATATTTCTCATATTTTTGGCTCTATACACTCTCTCATTTTACTATCAAATAATACCTCTATTTATAAGCAATTCATAGTAGATAAAAGGTCATAATTCATGGCATAAATGGTGGCAGCACATAGGTGCACCATTTTTGTCAATGGTTGGTAAAACTATTATTGTAGCCTTTTGACAACAGCAACCCTACTTCCTAGGGTAGGCTGCAAAAGTTGTTGTCCATTAAATGGCAACATCCCAACAATCACCTCCTTTGATATTTATATGGGCAATTGTCTTTTTACTTCTTCAGCACAAGCTTACATTTTGCAGCTCTTCCAAGCTTACCATTTCGATAGTATCTTTGGCCAAGTTTATAGGTATTTGCCAAACCTTTCAATCACTAGAGTTACCAAAGAACATCATTGCTCACACCAAAGGATCACTTCAACCAGATGGTCTCTCACATCACATCTAAAAAGTGTTAACGCTTGTCTTTAGAACATGATATTCCCCTCCGAGCATATCAATCATACTCAGTCTGGAATGATTTTTTAAGCCTCAGACCAAGGCTTACAACACCCCTTCAAATGAAAATTTCTATTTCCAAATGTGACAGTCATTATTTCCAAATGTGACAATCATTGAGTATTTAAATGTGATCATGAGCTCACCATTCTTTTAAGAGTCTACTCATCTTGGAGTTATGTATGCCCTTTATGCCACCCTAAGAATCACGCCTTATTTTTCCATGAGTCTCCCGCTCTCAGTTTCAAAAGTCAAGGTAGCTTTCCACCTTTAACCGTGGGGGCAACCCATTAAAAAATGATCCATATCTGTCTCTATATTCTAAGTATTACAATATCATTATTGAGCTCACCACCTTGACAAGAGTCAACTTATTCCAAGAACTTGCGCATGCCCTCTATTCCTACTAGCAATCGCGTCATAATGCTCCACAAGTCACCCACTTATTATTCAAGACAAATGTCTTTTAGCTCATTGATCTTTAGTATGAGGGCAATATCTATAAAAGTCAATCTGGTATTTGTACTCATAATCATCATAGCCACTCTATTAGTTATGCATACACATGTCCACTCATGTCTAGCCATCACATTAGCTTTGGGGTTGTACTGTAATTGAGCTCTTATCATAGCCCTCACACCTTCTCCTGAGGTGTCTTCGCTCGTCGTCATGCGACAGTCTGATCTTGGTCTCATCTTATAGCTATAACACCTTCTTTCTAAGGTGTCTTCGCCCGTTATCATTGAATGGTCTGATCTTGGGCTCTTATTCTGGCTTGCATACCTTCCCCTAAGGTGACTTTGCCCGTCATGAGGCGGTCTGAACTTGGGCTTATATCATGACTTGCACACCTTCTCTCCAAGGTGCCTTTGCCTTTCATAGGCAGTCGCATCCTTCTTTAGCTAGGACGCTTCAAAGTGGCTTCAAGAATTTTTACCACCATGTGGACTTAAAAGAGATTATTGTCACTGAGTACATAGAAAGAGAGAGTTGCAGTATGCTTCTCACAATCCTTTATCTTGATTTCTATGTTTTGAGCTTCTAGGCCATTCATCATCGCACTCAACAGCCCCACGTAAACCAACTCTCCTTGGTGTCTTCGCCTTTCATCATAGGCGATCTTCTTTTATCACTGGGCATTTGCACCCCCTCAGTTAGGTGCTTCTACAACAACTCATCTTTCCGTCCTTGCATGCATTGGAAAGGTCTTCGCTTGTTGCCTTTATCAAGAGCACAAGAGACTTTTGTTGTATATCCTTCACACAGTCTCTACTTTAAGCTTCATCTAGGAATTCTTCTTCTCCTTGCATTTGTTATCTCATTACAGTACCTCGTTAGATCCTCCGGGTACTCCTGCACAATCTTCATGTGCCTTCATGCAATTTCAGTTCACGAGATTTTTCTTTATTCCTTGCTTTTATGTTTGACAGCAGCTCATCCTTTTACAACATCTATCCAAGTAAAAATAGGGTACCCATCTTTATTCCCTTACTGTGTTTTTCTTCCATTATTAGGGTCTTTAACAGTTCTCCCCTCGAGAAATCGCAGTCATCGAGTCTAACTTCTTTGGAGAAATCACCACTCAATCAAATACTTGATCATACAGAACATAACTATTCCGGTGTGCTGTCATCCTCCTAGTCTTTAATAATTTCATTACAAACTGTTACATATATGAAAATAATACCGTATGGACAATCCTTTAACTAAGCAAGTTCTCGGGAAAGATTGAAAGGGTTACACTGATCCCGCTTAAAACCTAATCTCCTAGCTAGAACTTCTTAGGCTATATTTATTCATGGTACTGTCTTTTCATATATGCAACTATTTGTTAGCTTTTTCACGACTTTTCTTTGTATGTGATCTAGAATATCTTGGTTTTATACATGATTTCTCAATATCTGGCGAGATTACCACTGCTTAGATTCGTGAAGATTGGTCTTTATCAATTTTCACTCTCCACCTCAAATCGTCCATATAATCGAATGTCCAGAGTGCCCCAATTTTACCATCCCTCAAGGTAATTAAAAATTTTCATTTAGTAGTTTATCACATGTAATTGGGCAAACATATGCGATTTCTTCTTCTTCATCTCCATTAACCACCATGATGACCTTCAAATGCCTCCTGATCGGGCAATCTCTTTCAATAATTCACTTCAATAAATCACCACTACCACTTTTGTTCCAAATCTCAATAATCAGACAGTGTCATTACATCCAGAACGATCAAATTAGCTAAAAAAAGTTTGAAATCTTTCAAATCGCATTTCAAACGGCTAAGATTTGATCAAAACAATTCTGGTCTGATGAACGGCCTAGCTTCAATCTCAGATCCGGTTGCACGTAGAATTCGCTATATTGGATCATATTTGTCAGCTCACAGCTCGGCTCCAACTCAACTCGGCTCGACTTATGGTTGATGATATGGCAAGTGGGCCCATTGTATTGGTGTGTTAGCTGACTGGTCGCTGACATGGCAAGTCAATTGTGCATGCTGACGTCATCCTATATCCGAGTCAGCCATGTTAGTCGGGTCATCTGGTATTCGGGTGGGATTAGCACATCTAAGAGAAGAAAACACATGACACGCATAAGGCGCGTCTGTGCACGTGGGCAACCACCTCGTCGATGCATGAGAGCTCACGCGACCATGTACGACATTCGATTTTAACGCTGTTTTCACCAGTGTGCTCGTATCTTCCTCTTCTACATAGTAATATAGTCAAAACATAATTTTGACAACTTTTATTTTTTAGTAACAATCTTACACCACTTTAAACCAAATGCTCTGATACCCATTGTTGGGGGTTCGGGACCGGTGATATACTGATAATTACCCATTAGAGGCTACACATATTGACACAATATTTAACATGATTCAAAAAATCACCTACATCCACAAGAGAAGCCAATTCTTATATGGAAAGAACAAGATTTATAATAATAGAGGAGGATAAATCATCTACTCTTTTACAACTCTTAACCTCATTCTTTTCTCTCTTTACAGTGTTGTAATGGTAGTCATTGCTTGCTGCTCTTGGCAACTTACTCTCTCGTATATTTCTCATATCTTTGGCTCTACATATTTTTTTATTTTGCTCTCAAATAATATCTTTATTTATAAACAATTCATAACAGATAAAAAGTTATAAATAATAGCACATAAATTATATTATTTTTGTCAAGATGCAACTATTATTGTAGCTTTCTCACAATAATAAATATTAATAGCACATAAATTATATTATTTTTGTTAAGATGCATCTATTATAGCTTTCTGACAATAATAAATGTACTTCTTAGAATAATAAGATGCAAAAGTTATTCCCATTAAATTATAACATCCAAAGAGACAAGTCTCACCTTTGTTGCCAACAGAATTTGCACCATCTTACAACCAAATATTCAATACCAATACAAAACATCCAAAAGCCACACATAGAAAAAAGAAGAAGAAGAAGGCGAGAGAGAGAGAGAGACAAAAGCTCACCTAAAAATTCTAGAATTGCTATAACGTGCATAGTGCACGGGGGACCATGGATTCTATCGCCTAGAAATCGTACAGGCACTTTTCAAAGAGTGGCATGTGTTGCGCCTCTAAGCAAATAAACAGGGATAAGCTCCCATCATTGACCGGACTCCTTAGTATATATGCATTTCCTTCACAGAAGACTCTGGCTGGCCCCATGAAAACGGGTCTTCCCCACCCAAAATCTGCATCGTGTACAGGCAACCTGATCCAGCTCACAATATTGAGATTCGGGCTTGCATATGTGTGAGGCCCTCTCTTGAGAGCATTGAGATCTGGCTGAGCTTCGATATAATCTAGGGCTGATCTCAGGTACTCGTCATCCATCCTCCCCAGTGCTTCATGGATCCTCTCCATTGTGCGGACTAATGGTTTTGACTGTATTTCACCGGATAAACCCATCACCGTAGTTGTAAAAAGAACATTACCTAAGTAACCAGGTGGCAATTGAGGGTTCAATCTAGACCTTCCATCTGTTGAGATATATAACTTGCTTGCTTGATCATCAGAGAGTCCGCGTGCCTTACACATGGAACGCCAAATATGTGCAGTGATGGTTTCATACGTGCTATGCCTGGCTGCACCATCTTCTGTTCTGACCTTGGCTTTCAAGCTGCCAAGTTGTTCCGGTGTGATCTTGAGAATCTTAGTGCAGGTGGTTTTGGGTTGCGATCGGGGAGGAGTGTTCATGGTAGGAGGAGGGTCATATTCACTGTGATGGAAGGTAGGATGTGGTGGGTCACGAGCACGAAGAAGGGTTCTGTCGATGAATGGTGGAGTGCTAACGGGCAGGCCACGTGCTACGTCAGACCACGAGTTGATAAAATGGAGAGCAGAAGTCCCATCTGCTAAGATATGATGCAAGCCAACTCCAAGAGAGACGGCTCCACATTTGAACCGGGTCACCTGCAGTCGCACAAACAAAGACCAAAAAAAACCCAAGTTATCAACAAGGGACAAGGCTTCATTACTTGCTGTTGTTACTATTGTTAATAAAAGAAAATAGGAAACAGATCACTGATAGTAAACTCTTCTTCGCTAATTCGGTGAGTTGATACAGGAAGCCAAATCAAGGTTTTAAGATAAAAATAGATGACAGTTAACACCTATCACAAAAATTAATTTAATTCAAAATTTTAAATTATTATATAAAAATTTAGAATATAATTTATATTATTTTTAATATATTTTATAAAATAAAAAAAAATTTAAAATTTGTATAAATTTATATTATTTTACATTTAATTTTTATCAAATAAATAAAAAAAATGAAATTCAAATTTATAACTACTTGAAATAAATAAAAATAATGAAATTCAAATTTATAACTACTTAATTTTTAAGTTTTAATATCATGTTAAAAGTTAATTTAATTTTAAATTATTAAATAAAATCTTAGATAAATAATTTATATTAATTTTTAATTATTTTTAATTTTAAATGAATTAAAATCTAATATTTTTTAAAAAAATTAATTTAGCTTTTTTAAAAAATAAAATAATATTATTTTCATTAATTTAACAGAGTGGGGGATCTCAGTAACGAGAAAAGTGGTTGGTGGCGTCGGTGTATTCACTATAGGTGATGGGACCGAGAAGGATAGAAAACGAAAGATAGCATCCGTGCAGTACTGAGATTTTCAATCACCGTTATCACATGTCCACGTCATCTTCGGTATCTGGTCTCGGCACGCAAGTGGGAATGAATTTGGGAGAAGCGTCTGAATATTAATTCTGGGAGTTCGGTGCTGGTAATAAAAATCGTGTTGAGAAACGTGGCTTTTTTCGTTGTTTTTAAAAATATTTTTTATTTTAAAATAAATTAAAATAATATTTTTTTATTTTTTAAAAATTATTTTTAATATTAATATATTAAAATAATCTAAAATCATAAAAATATTAATTTAAAATAAAAAATAAAAAAAATAATTTTTTTTCAAAACACTTTCAAAATATAACGAGAAACACGTTCAATGTACAAACAGCACACAGAATATAACGTGAAACACATTCAACGTGATAAACATTCAAAGTACAAAGTGCACAGAGAATATAACGTGAAACACATTCAAAGTGCACACATCTTTACATGGATATTTACATGGCATTGAGGAGTAGATATTGTCGTTAAAAATGTTTTTTATTTAAAAATATATTAAAATAATATTTTTTATTTTAAATTTATTGTTAATAACAACGTATTAAAATAATTTAAAAATTAAAAATTAAAAATAGAAAAATTAAAAAAAAAATTAAAATACAATTTCAAGTACATTTCCAAATGTTTTCCAAACATTTCATATCTTAAGAAAACGAATCATTGAAGCATCCGAATATGCCTTCAATGGAATATATATTGATTATGTTTTTGTTATTATTTTTTTTTTAAATATATTTTTCTTAAAAATATATAAACATGATTTAGAAATGTAATAATAGTTATTTTTTAGTCCTTAATATGTTTTAAAGATGTAAATATATTTAGGTCCCTAAGATTATTGATTATTTTGACGAAAAGGCAAGATTATGATTAACTCATAACACATTAACAGGTTTTAGAAATGTAATAATTAATAGTTTTTTAAAAATATATTAATTTTTTTTAAAGTCAATTTTAATAACAAAAGCTGAAAAAAAATCTAAAAGATAAATCAATAATAATTTCAATAAAAAAAAAATGTTTAGAACAAGTTTCGAAACGGCGGCTCGAAAGGTGAAGGTACCTGTAGCACCACTAGTGGAAAAGAAGAGATCCCGCCCGCATAGTCGACCTCCGGAACAAGGGGCAGCAGCTTCGAGCTATCAGTGAAGTCACCCAAATCATCTGCAAAACAACTTGTTTCAGCTTCAACAAACAAAACTCCTTCTCCATTACAGTTAATCTCAATTCTGCCAGATTCGTGCTTTCTCATTCTCCCTGCTGCAGGGTAGAAGGGCACAAGAACATCACTGAGAGCATCCGTAAGCACTTGGGTTTCGAAAAATCTGGAAGAACCATTTGGCTTGTAGAAGTAGACAGTTTGGACATGAAACATTGGTACCAGGAGGTCCAGATTTGAGCTCCATAGGCTCCTCTTGGGAGTGTCTCTAGAAGGGCGAACCATAATTGACTGTTTCACATCTACTTTCATCTTTTCCACACCTGCAATGATCATATATAAACTGTAATAACTTAAAAGATTTGCGTTGGTTGATCCAAGCCCGATATTATTATTGTTATTAGAAATTGCAATATAATTAATTGTTCTTTTTCTTCATGATAGTTCATTCTCCCTGTTAAACAAAATGGATTAGCCTTGTCCAGATTATCTCAAAGGCTAGTATCAAAGAGTATACTTATGTAAAGCTCTGCAAAAACAGAAAAAAAAGGACTTTGAACGAGATAAAAAATTCAACTTCACTTTTGCCCAAATTAACATCGGCACGTGCTCAGTTTTTATTGATGAACAAGCAATGCAAACACAGCTACCTGTTAAGATGCAAGATCAAGGCCGGGCAGAACAGGGATCACTCACCTCGCTAAAGAGACCCGATGAAGAAGTATGGGAGGAGGGAATCGAACAGAAATGGAGAGAAGATTGCGGTGAAAAATGGCAGCTACGCCCTTTTCAACGACTAATATACAAGTACAAGCCAAATTACTGCTAGGTTTTTTTTCATTGTGTGTCGAATAACTCCTTTTTTTATATAGAAATTAACATGTAAGCTTTTTAAATGTATTTTTTTAAAATCTAAATCTAAATTAAAAAGTTTATGTAAATATTTAATTAAAAAATATTTATATAAAAAATATAAAAAAATGTTAACAAGTCTACTTCACTACCCTAGTTGCAACTTTGCAACTCAAATAATGTTTTTGTAACATAAAATAATTAACATGTAGGTAATGGTAATATATTTTTTATATCAAATAAAAAAATAACTGTGAATCAAATAGTTAATATTTATTACATTAATAATCATTACAGTATTAACTTTTAAAAATATAAAAAATTAAATTTTAGTCATGTTTAACGTGTTTATAAAATAAAGGGTAAATTATTAATGAAAAAGGAGAAAAATATTTAAAACATCAGTAATGAACAGATAAAAATAAAAAAATCATTTTTATTTTTAAATGAAAGATAAAGAGGAATAATGAGAATAAATTGAAAGAATTAAGGGATTAAATCTCCTTTGCAAGGAGGCTGAAATTTACCCCCACTTTCGCCATCCACGGGATTATTTTTGCCATCCCTTGAAAAGTCCCTCATCCCTCATTCTCAATTACTTTTAAAGAAATGCTCTTGTATCATTGGATTTTATAATTTTATTAAGAATGGGGTTTTAATTAAAAAATAATACTCAAATAAACTTCTGTATTATTATAAGTTTTTTTGAACAACTTAAAAGATCTGGATATAAGTTAATATAGCATGCCAGATGATTTTTCAAAATTCTTTGTCTTATAAAAAAAATTATATATACTTTTAAATTAAAGTTTATGTTTGCAATTGATTTAAGAAGAAAAATTATAATAAATCCATGTCAAGTAATAATTGTGATTCAAAGCAATTAGTTGAAAACATTTTCTCTTTTTATTATATATTTTTAAATTAATATAAATATAAATATTTTTATCTATACATGTGATGTGATCAGATGAATTTAATATGTGTGTTTAATTATTTTTTCAGGGAGCATTAAATTGTGTTTCAACATTCAAACATGAACATTGCCTGGTCGTAAATGTGCCAGTTAAGATACCTCCTGAGCGCATCAATACACGACGAGGAAAAACGACGTCGTCAGACAAATCAAAGCATCCGTCGCAGAGAGTCCGAGACTTGGTCTCTGGCCTTAAAGAAACTACGTAGGCCTTAAAGGCACGAGACGTACACAACCGTTATCAGCTGTGAGATTTTTAGGCTGCGGTTGTTTTTGTTGTAATTTTTGTGGTTTTTGGTTTAAAAAAAGTATATTTTATTATAATTAATTGAATTTAGATATGTATTTAGTAAGAATTGTAGTTGAAATTTATATGTAGTAAAAAAAAATATAAATATAGTATTTTATTTTTTTTATAAATAGTAAAAAGGATGGGTAAAAAATATTTACAAAATTCAATTAAAAATATATATAAAAACTGCTGAATAAAATCTACATTTTAAACTCAAATTTTTAATAAATAATGCAGTATAAAATTCAGTTTTTTTAATACCAAACACAGTTTTAATTAAAATTATAGTTTAAGTATTTAAAAGAAATGGCAACATTCCAGATTATGTTCCCAGCAAAATGTAAAATAAAAAAGTAACCATAAATGATATCAAGCATTTTTTTTCTTCAAATTCTGAGTTTTTGTCTTAAGAAAAAATATTTAAAATATTGATATTTTTTATTTTACATATTATAAACAAGTGCCTAGCAACTTAGATAATTTTTTTGATTTTATATATTATAAAATCATGTTCAATGTATATCTTAAATAAATTAAATTAAAATACAATTTCTTTATTGTTTTAAGAAAAAGATTCATAACTGGTCCACCTTATGTAGTTAATTGTGATTAAGAATATTCAGTTGAAAGTTTTTCTTCATATTTTTCTTGTTTTTTCAATATTTTTAATTTTTATTTATATACACGGTAAGATCAATTTAATATGTGTTTTAAAATAAATATTAAAAAATTGTGATTACTTTTATGATAAATAAATAAATGGCTGGGTGTTCATGGCGTGGATAAATAAATAAATGGCTGGGTGTTCATTGCGTGGCGGCGCTCTTTGCAACGTGATAAATGAAAGATTGCCTGCCAGATAAGATCCGTGAATACTGCATTGAAACTTCACGAGAAAGTAAATGTCTGATATCAGATTCTTGTCCTTTGGCCTTAAAGACACCACGTGGTATTTGCGATGGCTTTGAATTTAAAAAGAAAATTTTATTTTCCGAGGTAGCTCCATCGGACGGGCTAGATCAGTGGGTGTGTATTTGTTGACCATGTTTTAGGTCGAGAGAGCTCCAGCCACAAAAAAAAAAAAAAAAAATCAAAACTCTTTTTAAAAAACTCCAAATTTGAAAGATTTTTTTATGTTATTTATGGTTATTTTTTATATTTAGAATTTTTGGAAACAGGACCTGTTTAGTTTGTAGCTGTTTCTTGTAAATATTTATATACCAATGATTTTCATTTAATTTAAAAAAATTAAAGATAAAAAAGTAACCACAAATAGTACAGTTTCTTTTTTTTTTACCTCTTTGGATTATCCCCTTGTCATGCTTGACATCGATTGGTACGAATATAATCCAATCTGTCTGGGCCCTGGAGCACGAGGCGTCGGGGCCCGTCCTGTTTAGCTGTGTGAAGGATTGGTACGAATATAAATTAAAATATATTTTACTGTTCACATAAAATTCCTACGTAATTTATTTAAACTATGGCTTCGCATAAAGCAGCTATTAACTGCTTTTCGTAAACATGCAGACATTAGAGAGTTTCACTCTTCATTAAATAATGGAGTCACTTTTTATTCTCATTAGAGAGTTTCACTCTTCATTAAATATTTAATGGAGTCACTTTTTATTGTTTTCATCATTATTTTTACTAGATCGTTTAACCTAAAATTAAATATATTAAATTAAATTTGATTTAATTTATTTTTTTATTTTTTATTGTATTATATTTAAAAAAAAAATTATTATTTTTTATTGTATTATATTTAAAAAATTAGAAAACAAATCATTTAATAAATAACATTTACAAAATTTGATCGCAATCTTATATTTATTCTCGATAATATTTTATTTGATATTGTTGTGCGTTTAAAAAACTAAAAAATTATAGTTCTTATTAAATGAATTTCATATATAATGAAATTATAAATAATTTAATGGAACAATAACAAATATTTGATACAAGTATTGTTTATTTTATGATGTGATAGCAATAATTAATTCTATAATATTTAAATTAAAAATCATCAATATATATATATAACCTTGATTTGAAAAATAATTTTTTAACTAAACACATTAAATTATTTTTTATTCAATCTCAATTTTAACTATAATTTTAACCAATAATGTTGAAGTGATGAGAATGTATTTTAAAAAAATAACAGAAATTAATGATTTGATATATAATAGTAATTGAGATTAATAATTTTGTTTTATTTTAATTGGATGGTAAAAAAGGACAATAATAGTATTTGATTTTTTTTTTAAATCACAATACCTTAGAAAAAAATAGGAGCATGAAATTGGATTAAAAACATTGAGTCAATAAATGTTGAAAAACATAATGGGAAAAAAATAATACTATAAAAAGATTTAAAATAAAAAAATAATAATAAGGATTGAAATCAAAATAAAAAATAAATTAAAGACAACTAAATTTTTTCTACTGAAAAGTTAAATTAAAAAAAACACTTAAACATAAAAAAAATAATGAGGATAAGATAAAAAAAAAACACACACACATCATAAACTTGTATTGAAAAAAGAGATTAAAAAACCAATATAATTTGTATAAAAGAGTTAATAAAAAATTTAAAAATAAATATCAAATAAAAAATATATGAAAAATTAAAATCAACAAATAAAATAAATAAAAATTATATAAAAAAATAAAAAAATAAATTAAAGTAATAACTGTGATTGATTTAATACTCTATCAGGTAAGTCCACTTGTTATTTGAATGAAAAGCGAAAAAAGTAATTTTATTACTGAATCGAAGACAAAAGTTGTCTGGTACTGCAGTAAAGTCATTCTTACCATTCCCCTTCCGTCCTGGTATAATTCTTATTTATTGTTGTGGCTTGACACGCTGTAATTGTTCAATAAGCCAGGAGTCTAATAAAAAGTTGATCCAGCGAACTGCATTTTTCGGTAGTGTCTGGAAATGCAGTAATTATTTTATATATAATTTTAAATTAATTTTTTAATAATTGTATTGAAAAATATTTTAAAAAAAACACTTTACATTTTAATATGAAATGTTTGGAAATATAGTAATTACTTTATATATAATTTTAAATTAATTTTTTAATAATTATATTAAAAAATATTTTTACAAAACATTTTCAATCGTACTACTTAAAAAATTGAAGCAATTTTGAAACCAATGGCCACCTCCAGCCATGTAGCAAGTTTGTGAGAATTTTATTTATAAACTTGAGTTCTGACAATAAGTAAAAAATAAAAATAAAAATCTTTAATCAATAAATCAACTCTCTTCAGGCTATAAATACCTTTACAAATCAGCACAATGGTTCAAATAATGTAATTGGTTTTGTTTTACCCAAGCATATATTTAAGTTATTTCATCTACGGAGGGGTGGCTTTTTATACCATGTATGGTGCAATAATTCTTATCACGACCAGAATCCTCTATAATATTGATAGAATATCTTGTCCGTATTCAAATGCTAATTATGTTGGAAAAATATTATTTATGGAATTATGAACAAAAAATGATCATAAAAAACTTATTATTAATGATTTTTGTTCCCTTAGTGATATAATCATCAATAAATTTATAAATAAAAAAATTCTAAACAAAAAAAATACAAACTTCATTTTTTTAATAATTTTAC